AAAAAAAAAAAAAAAAAAAAAAAAAAAAAAAAAAAAAGAATAGACACATAGCAAGTGAAGTATTTAACACGGGGATCATACATTAAATATCTGTATTTATTTGGAAAATTTTAGTATTTCTATATTTTTCTTTGCAGGATTGTACTATTCTGTTAGCAACTTAGAAAGTTTACAAAGAAATTTTCTTCATAACAATTTGAATAGACTATATTGATATCTTATCTAGTAAGTAAACAAAAGGAAAAGACCCCTCCCTCCCAAGAGAGAATCTCTTGTGGCAGTTAGTAAAAAAATACTAAGGAGATTGAGGGCACAAATATAACAAGAATGTCAGGTGTCCTTTGAATATGTAATTTATAAGTAGATGGAAAATAGAGATGCTTTTTGCTCCTAGAAAAGATTTGGTTAATTATTTTCTATTTGGTAAGACCAATACTCATAGAGTTTTGAAATTTTATGAAATGTAACAGTCTCTTCCCAAACAAACCAAAAATAGTGAGAAAGGTATTTTGTATTTTTTGTGAACTTCTTTGGTGTCTGGCATCCTGGAGTCTCATTTTTACTTTTTTTGTTAAATCTTTTACAGCATCCAATGGCAGTTAGCCTTGAAAAACTCCACTGTATACTTAGAATGATTGTCAAAAGGGCAGGTGACATTTTAGTATTATATGGAAAATGGTTGTAATCTTTCTGATCCCCTGAAAGGGTCTTAAGTTCCCTCATGGATTTCCCAAATCATTCTTTAAGGTCATTTCTCTTGTGCAAAACTAGCTTCATTATTAAGGATTGTGCATCTGAGGTCTCAAATGAATGTCCCAGATCTTTGAAAGATGATGAAATTAAAGTGTCTTTTGTAAAACTAATGAAACTTATATGTGCAGCATAAATTATGCATGAACCTTAGGAAAAGGACCTATGGTTTAAATAAAATTTAAATCACTGTAAACACCTACATATCACTGTAAGCTGATATTAATGACTTAAATAAGCAAATGTAATTAAAAAGAAGGCAGTAGTGGTTAAGATAATGTGAAATCTTGTTCAGTTATGCACACCTGCTAGTTTTCTGACTTAAGCCAGTTATTAATCTGAGTACAATGCTATCATTTTTTAAAATCAGTAAAATGGTAACAATAGTAGTTCCTGTACTACTGGGTTGAGAAATAAATAAATTAACACATTCAAATCATTATTTCTGGGCCAGACACAAAGTAATCATATTGATCTGAGGAAAAATCCTTAATTTTCCCATTCCTTTTTGACAGGAAGCTAAACAAATGTGGTTTCTGTAAGAAGAGCTACAGACCCTTGGCTTTTTTATAGTCTGACTTTTGAGAGACTAGTTCTGTTCAGGAAGTTTGTTGTTACTAAGTTAGTGTCAGTTTACACCAGAATTTAACTTTTACAGCACATTTCAATGCACTTATTATTGTTTTATTATGGTCACTTTTTAAAATTATCTATTTTTTTTCTGATGATTGAATGACAACTCATTCTGGGAAATTATTCAGAAAATATAGAGTCATTAAGAAAATAAAGATCTCTCATAGTTCCACTCTGCCAAAGTAATCTAATTACTTTTACTTTTTTTGTGCGATTCCGTCTAGACTCTTTTCTAAAGATGAATTTAGGTTTATAATCTTTAAAATTTTGGTTTTTCCCAAAGTTTAATGTGTCTGTATATAGTGTTTTATATTCTGCTTTCTTTTCCTGCCATGAGATGTCTGCAGATTATTTTAAACATAGATACTCCTCCACTTATAATAAGCCCATTGCAAGTTGAAAATGTAAGTTAAAATTATATTTAATGCATCTGATCTACTGAACATGATAGCTTAGCCACATAGTACAACATAGAGTGTGATTGTTTACCGTGGTGATCTCGTGGCTGACTGCCTAGCATTCTAAGACTGTATCTTACTGCGTATTGCTAACCAGGGAAAAGATCCAAATTCAAAGTTTGAAGTACAAAATTATAAATCAAACCATTGTACATCAGGGACCATCTATAGTTGTATAGTATTTTATTGAGTGGATATAATTTAACTATTTCCCTCTAGAAATGAATATTTATTTTTTATAAATTTTTTGTAATTTAATAACAGATCAATATTTTTCTACATCCATTTTTTTAAGTACTTGTGATACTGTTTTTTAAATGTATGTTTTTAGAGGTTGAATTAGTGAGTGGGTCAACTGGCTCTGAAAGTAACCTTTTTAAATCCAATCTGTGTATTATTCATCTTAATATTTTCCAATATAATAATACCAATATCTGTATATTTTAATTTCTCTTTTTTTGGTTCTTAGATATTGAACATCTTTTCATATTTTTGTCCTGTTGCCATTTTTCAAAGGTTAATTTTCTGTTTTCTTGTTTTTTCCCTTGGTATGTATATTTGGAAAATGAGTAGAATTTTACCTTGTTCATTAAATAGTAGGTTATGCTTTCCATTTTAAAAAAGACTTGAGTCCTTTCTGGACTCATTTTCTCACTTAGCAGGTTATTTTTAAGTATTAACATAAAGAAAACCAAGCTTATTAGAATTCTTTCCTTGTCTATTGTACAACTGAAGAGGATAGAAAACCTTTTTTTTTTAATTTTATTTTAGAAATCCTTAATATTTATTTGCACACAAAGGTTCTGTACCTGATTTGGTTCAGCTGTTTCTACTTTGCTGACATTTAGTTCTTGATCATTAGTTCTTGACATTTAGTTCTATGTAAGTAAAATGTTATATCTTTCCCAATATATTTGCATATTCTTCCTTTTTATTGCTATTGAAATTAAAAAGAAATCGAAATTATTTATTCAAACACTCATTTTAGTAACTTATGTTTTTCTTTAACATCAGAAGAAAAGATATTTTGGAAATAATCTTTCTGTATGACAAAGTGCGTGTTGTTTTTTCTTTATTGCTTTTAGAAGAAAAACAACAGTGAAGACATTATGTATTTATGCAGATTACAAGTCTGATGAAAGCTATACACCAAGCAAGATCTCAGTCAGAGTAGGAAATAATTTTCATAATCTTCAAGAAATTCGGGTATGTCTTTCAAATTTTAAAAAATATGTCATTCTTTAATGCTTGCTTTTTCGAAATTAGTTCCAGTTGCCCTTTGATTACACTAATTAAAATCTTAGCATATTAAAGGAAAAATTTTAACATAGAAGAAAACAGGTGTGTATATAATATTTTTCATTTTCTTCTGAATTCTGTTTATCATTTTTACTTTTCTCAGTATTTTATTATAGAAATTTTTGTACACACAGAAAATTGAAAGAATTTTACAGTGAATCCCTGTCTTCTCATCTGGATTTCTCAAGTGTTAATGTTTTGCTATATTTGCTTTAAAATCTGTTAATCTCATATTTTTTGCAAAGTTGCAGTATCTGTATATTTTACCCTGAATACTTCAGCACAGTACATTAGTAGAACTATGAATATTTGAAAGGTAAAGTTTACATACAGTTTTATACAAATCTTATTTAGATTATTTGGTGAGTTTTGACAGATGAATGCATCTGGTAACCCCAATTTTAGGATATAGAACTATTTCCACCACCCTACAAAATTCTCTCATATCCTTTTCAATCAGTCTATACTTCCCACCCTACTTTCTGAGGTTAATATTGTTATGGTTTCATTTGTTTGTTGCCATATATCACGTTTTCCTATTCTAGAATGTTATATAAGAGGAACCATACAGAATATAACTCCTTCATTCAGCCTAAGTTTGGGGGGATTCATCCATGTTGTGACATGTATTAGCACTTCATTCTTTTTAGTTTTTTTTTTTGTTTGTTTTTTTTTTGGTACCGGGGATCGACCTCAGGTCCTTGTGCTTGCAAGGCAGGCCACTGAACTGCTGAGCTAAATCCCCGGCCCCATTCTTTTTATTCTTGAGTTATATTCCCTTATTTTAATATATCACCATTTATTTTAGCTATAACTTTTTGAAGCTATTAGGATAGTGTTTTTTTGTTTGTTTTTTTTTGGTGTTTTTGAGACAGGGTCTCACTATGTAGTTGAGGCTGACCTGGAATTTACTATGTAGCCCAGGCTGGTCTCGAACTCACAGCAATCCTCCTGCCTCAGCCTCCCGAGTGCTGGGATTACAGGCGTGAGCCACCACGCCCGGCGTAGGATAGTGTTTTGTGACCTGAATTTTACATTCTTCTAATGTTGGAACTTCAGAGATATTATCAGTGAATTTGAATTATGTTCTTGTGAAACTCTGGTTCTTAATATTTTTTGTCAGAAAAATTGTTGAACCCAAGTAATCATTAAAATCTGGTGGTTTTGAGAGATTGAGAAAGATCTGAGTGATCTTTAGAAGATATCTAGTTAATTTGTGGCCTGGACTCTTAGTTGACCTATTGCTTATATTAAGATCATGTTTCTGCATTTATATTTCTTATTTGAGTTAGTGATAAAGTACTTAGTGAAAATCACAAGTACTATTGGTTTTCATTAAATACATTATTGTTCTTTTATTTGCTTACATATTGACAAATAAGAATAGATAAGGACATTGTCTATAACTATTTTTGTTTACTCCTTTGAGATGTCTGTCACGTATAGAATTTTTAAGATTTGACAAAAATTGTGTGATGATTAATGATGATGAATAGTTTTTCATATATGTTTTTATGTCAATACCATGCTGTTTTGATTACTTAGTAGTTTTGTGGTATATTCTAATATGAGGTAATGTGATGCCTCCATCTTTATTCTCTTTGCTGCAAATTACATGGCTATTTGGGTTATTTTGTGTTTTCATGTGAGTTTTAGGATTTTTCCATTCCTATGAAAAATTGGAATTTTGGTAAAGATTGCATAAAATCTACAGATTGTATTGAGTAGTAAAAACATTTTTTCCATTGTTTATTGGTACATTTTAGGTATATAATACATTTAATTCATCATTAGGATTTTGTACCTTTACATGATATATCTTGGTTCTTATTTCTTCCCTATTCCCCTATCCTCCCTGAACCCCCTCCACCCTTCCCTATTTATACAGACTTTGTTTCCATGTTTGTTTTTTCTCATATTTTTTCTTTTCCCTTCTTTTCTTTCCCCTACTCTTCCCATTTCCCCTACTCCTTTAGAGATTTTCTTCCTATTTCACAATATCAGTTATACATTTTGATCCTTATTTACACTTTCAGTTTTTCACACCAGAGAAAAACTATTTGGTATTTATACACTTGTGTCCTATTAATTTCACCTAAGGGTATGTCCTCAATGTGCATCCACTTAGCTGTAAATGTCTCTAGTTTCTTGTTCGTTATGGCTGAGTAGTATGCCATTTTATTAAGACCTCATCATCTTATCTAGTCTCCAGTTGATGGGAAGTTGGGCTATTTCCAAGTTTTAGCTATTACAAACTGTGCCACTATGAACATGGATGTGCATATATCACTGTAGTATGATTCTATTAGTTTTTTGGGGAAGATACCCAGGAGGGGAGTAGCTGCTTCAAATGGGACTTCTAATCCTAGTTGTTAAAGATATCTCCATATTGGTTTCCACAGTGGTTGCACCAGTCTACACTTACATCAACAATGAAGAAGTCTTCATTTATCCCCATAACCCGGCCAGCAATTGTTATTGGCTGATTTCTTGTTAGCAGTAATTCTTTCTGTGGTGAGGTGAAATCTCAGCATTGTTTTCATCTGCATCTTTCACAAGACCAGTGATGTTGAACATTTTTTCATATTTTTTTCTCATTGAGTTTATTGGTACATTTTAGGTATACAGTACAGTTACATTCATCATTGGGATCTTGTACCTTTACATGACAGGTCTTGGTTCTCATTTTTTTCCCTTGTCCCTGCCCTCCCTTCACCCTCTCCTCCCCTCCCCATTTGCAAACATTTTATTTCCATTTTTTCATATGTTCATTTGCTGCTTTTACTTCTTTGTCTGGAGATGTCTTTTAATTTTAGATACCCATTTTTTAACTGAGTCTTTATATTTGAGGGGGTCTGGCTGTTTTGAGTTTTTATTTTTTTTTATTTTTTTTATTCTAGGTAGTAGACCTTTGTCTGAGGAACAGCTGATAAAACTTTTTTCCCATGTTGTAGGTTGTCTCTTAGCTCTGTTGGTTTTCTCTTGCAGTGAAGAAGCATTTTAATAAGATGAGATCCCAGTTGTTGATTCTTTGTGCTAGTTCCTGTCCTACTGAGGATTTGTTCATAAAGTCTTTTCCTATGCCATTGTCTTTGAGAGTTCTACCCTGCTTATTTTCCAGCAAGTTTAGCATTTCTGTTTTAATATTTAGATCTTTAATCCACTTGGATTTTAGTTTAGTGCATGGTGCAAGACGGGGGTCTAGTTTTAATCTTTGGCAAGTTGAAATCCAGTTTTTCAACACAATTTATTAAAGAGGCTATCTTTTCTTCATTGAGGATGGTTGGCTCCTTTGTCAAAGATGAGGTAGTTGAGTGTGTCATGAGTTGTTTCTGCATCTCCTAATCTATTCCACTGATCCTCAGGTCTTTTTCTTTGCCAGTACTATGCTGTTTTTATCACAGTAGCTTTGTAGTGTAGTTTCAAGTTGAGAATTGTGATACTCCCTGCCATGTCTCTGTTGCCTAGAATTGCTTTTGCTATTCTAGGTCTCTTCTAGCTCCAAATGAATTTTTGGATTATTTTCTCTTAGTTCTGTGAAATATACTGTTAGGATTTCAGTTGACATTGCATTGAAATCTGTATAGTAGTTTTGGAAGTATGACCATTTCACTGTATTGGTTCTTCCTACCCAGGAACAGAAATATCATGGTGGAAGCTCTATCATGGTGACAGAGGAAAATTGCTCAGTTCATGGTAGGCAGGAAGCAGAGGAAGGGAACAATGCCAGAGAATAAGGGGGTAATGACCATATATAGTACCCGGCGTCACACTTTCATTCCCCACCCAGAAATATGCTTTACTACTTTTACTAATCTTTTGCAACTCACAAGCCAATCGAGTTGGTATAGTTAAACTTAACTGTCACAGTCAGTTTTTTTGAAGAGTTCAAGAAGGATTGTTAATCATTCTTTAAAAAATATTTTAAACATTCATCAGCAAAGTCATCAGGTCCTGGGCATTCTTTGATGGGAGATTTTTTTATTATTCATTTTTTCTTACTCATTATTGGTTTGTTTGAATTTTTCTATTTCTTCATGACTAGCCTGGATTGGTAGGTAGTAGGTTTCTAAGAATTTGTCCTTTTCTTCTAGGTTATCTAACTTGTTGTAAAATTGTAGTAGTTTTTTATAATTTTATATATATATGTGGTAATGTCTCCTGATTTTTTTCAAAAAACCACTGTTGATGTTTTCTATTTTTTATGTTTATTTTTCATTTATTTCTACTCTGACTTTATTATTTCCTTCCGATATCAAACTGTGTTTCTTCTTTTTTTAGTTCTTTGACATATAACATAAGGTTGTTTATTTGAAATCTTTGTTGTAGGGGTTTATTGCTGTGAATTTTCCCATTAGAACTTAGATGCATCTCAGTTTTAGTATATTGTGTTTTCATTCTCATTTATCTTAAGAAATTTTAAAATTTTTCTGTTTTTTTTTTTTTTGGTACTGGGCATTGCACTCAGGTCCTTGTGCTTGCAAGGCAGGTGGTGGAACCACTGAGCTAAATCCCCAGCACTAAAATTTTGCTTTTAATTTCTTTGTTCTATTGGTTAGGAGCATGTTGTTAATTTTATGTATCTGTGAATTTTATAAATTTGCTTTTATTTTTATTTTCACATAATTTAGAAAAGATACTTTATATGATTTCAATCTTTTAAAATTTACTAAACTTGTTTTGGGGTTCAATATATGATTTATTCTGGAGAATGCTTCTTGTGTGCTTGAGAAGAATGTATATTCTACTATTACATGAAATGTTCTGTATATATGCTAGGTTGCTTTGGTTTAACATATAGTAGAAGTCTAATATTTACTTACTGATTTTCTTCCTCAGTGACTGTCAATTGCTGAAAGTGAGCTATTATACTGAAGTCCACTACTATTACTGTAGCATATTCTTAT